TATAATTTTGACGTTTTCTAACTTTTACGGCTTTTTAAGAAATATTGTGGGATACATCTATGATATTTAGGGAATGTGGGTGCCTGTAGGTGTGTTAAAGCGAGAGTATTGATTTTATAGGTTATTTTCCGTATTTTGGCAAATAATTTCATATTGTGCTTTCGAAGTGGTGTTTGTGTGGTTCTGTTGCAGGAATAATCTTGAATAAGGTTAGTGAATATCCCCCTGATGGGGGCTGTGTATTACCCCTTTATAAACCCAAAGCTGTTAAGCGCCAGTCGGACTCAGTTTTTCCCGTCGACTTCGATGGGAAGAAAATACGTTCTCCAGCTGAATGGATTCAATCAATTTTCTCTAAACCTGGATTTGAGTCTGACTCCAGGTTTGAATACTCCGTATCGGACAAGGGGCCATTTTCTGTGTATATTTCTAGGCTTGAACCTGATCCATCATCCGGCCTGTCTTTTAAGGCACTCAAACTCGGCCAGTTTTTATATAAAAACAAAATACCTGACATTGTTGAAGGTACCATTAAAAATATAGGTCGTAACAAAGTCTGTGTGGAATTTATTTCTGCTATCTCAGCTAATAATTTCATCAACTCCACAATTGTCTTACAAAATAATTTTGTGGCAAAGATTCCTCGCTTCCAAATATTTCGTATGGGTGTTGTTAGGGATATCCCTATTGAGTGGACTCTGGAGGAGCTAGTATCTGGTATCTCTGTCCCTAAAAATTGTGGAGAGGTTGTTCGAGCTAGACGCCTTAATGTAAAAAATAGAAAAGATGGATCCGTTTGGGTCCCATCGAACTCCGTGGTACTTACGTTTCTCGGTCAGTCTTCCAGTTTTTTTTTTGTTTTAATGTATCTCTGCCGGTGTCTCTTTACCAGTTACCCTGATATATATATGCATTGTGTGTACCGGATGACGTCAGCGCACTCCGGGCGCGGCGCGCGCCCGCTGCATTTACTCAGTAATAAATCAGCTCGATACATACTCGATTGTTTAATTTGTTAGCATACATATCACTGGCGACGAGGTGTGTTTTTTTTTACCTACATAAACAAAAAAAAAATGTCGTTCTTAGGCAATTTATCAAGTTTTGATTACAAAAATTGCGAGTGGAGTATCTTCAAAGGACGATTGAACCAATTTTTGTTGGCTAATGACGTAACCGATGACAAGAAGGGTGCAATTCTCCTAACTTATCTCGCGGATGAGTCGTATCAACTGTTACGTAACCTTGCGTACCCGCGGGATTTGGAGACGCTGACCTTTCCGGAGCTGACTACCTTACTCGACGGTCATTTTAAACAAAAACAATGTTCTTATGCTGATAAAGCGAAGTTTTATGGTGCCCAGAAAAATACAAGGGAATCAATAGGCGATTGGGCGGCGCGACTCAGGGGGCTTGCGAGCTACTGCAACTTCGGCGCTACCCTGGAACAGAATATCACTGATCGATTCGTCCTCGGCTTGAACATGGGCCCCGTTCGTGACAAGCTTTTTGAGCAAGACGCTTCTATGCTGACACTAACTCGAGCCATCGAGATTGCTGAAAAGGCAGAATGTGCGCGTGATGCAAGAGCTGTTTTTTGTGACGTATCTTCACAAATCAAAGAAGAAGCGTTATATCGTGCTGAGTATGATTCCAAGACCAGCCAACGGCCGCGACACGGGAATGGTGGAGGTAGCGTCGCCAGCGGTGCCGGTAGTGGCACAGGCGCCGGCCAGCCGTTGGGGGCGGTGTGCTCAATCTGCGGCATGAAAAACCATTCCGAAGACAGATGCCGTTTTAAAAATTATCGTTGTCAAAAGTGTGGTGAAAAAGGCCATTTAAAAAAAGTGTGCAAAAAAAAAAAAGAGTGTGTGCGTAAATAACATCGTTTCGAAATCGGAAGAATCGGATAGTACTTGCTGCGAGGAATGTCAGACCTATAATGTAAGGTACGTAAGCGAGAAACCGATTGAACTGTTATTAAAATTAGGAACTAAACTAGTAACTATGGAGCTGGATTCGGGTTCCGGTAAATCTGTTATATCAGATAATTTATACTCAAAGTTGTTTTCTGATTACAAACTTTCAAGTTGTAGCTTGAAAATGTGCCTATATAACGGTCATAAAATCACACCAATGGGATATTTTTATATAAATGCAAATCCAAATCAAATAACGAAACCTATTAAAATCTTTGTCATAAAACAAGGGGGTCCGCCCTTACTGGGCCGTGATTTTATGGCCGCCTTTAATTTAGTTTTAGGAACACAGTTAAATAGTGTATCAGCTGATTTGCACGTCAGTTCATTGTTGGAACAATATTCAGAACTATGGCGCGACGAGTTTGGCACGTTTAACAAATTTGAAATACATTTAGAACTGAAAGAAAATTCAGTCCAAAAATTTTTAAAAGCTCGATCCGTGCCATTTGCCTTAAAAGGAAAGGTGGAAGCCGAATTGGACAGGTTGGTTGGTTTAGGCATCCTCGTTTGTATCGTTCGTATCGTAGTTTCGTATCGCATCGTAGTTTGGCCAGCCGCGAGGGGGCGGCGTCCGCGTGTGCCGGACGTCGCCTAAAGAGAGGAAAATACATTGAGACGGAGCCCGCACCAGGAGCGGGATGGCGCTAGGAGGGGTCCGGATGTCTTAACAACAGCTGTTCCCGGATCCCTCCTGTTACAGGCGCAGAGTGGCTTTAGTCGGTCCGAGTCCGACACAGTACCCCGCCGCAAATCCCGGAGGGGTGACGGTCCGAGGGGATTTCCACACGTTAAAAAAAAAAAAAAAGGCATCCTCGTACCAGTCAACACTTCGGAATACGCAACTCCCATTGTACTGGTCCTTAAGGAAAATGGGAAGGTCAGGATAGCTGGCGATTATTCCATTACCTTGAATAAGGATCTAATTATTGATAAGTATCCGTTACCAAGGATAGAAGAGGTATTTGCAAAATTAGGAGGGGGTGAGCACTATTCAAAAATTGACTTAAAAAACCAATAAACCAATTAATTAAACTTAAACTTAATAAACCAATTAAAAAACTTAATTAAATAATAACCAATTTCTTTTAAGTGAGCGCTCACAACAACTAACTACAATAAATACCTCTAAGGGGCTCTTTAAATATACTAGATTGGTCTATGGACTAGTCAACGCTCCGGCGATATTTCAAAAATCAATGGAAACACTTATCAAATATAGATGGCGTAAGCTGTTGGTTAGACGATATCTGTGTAACCGGACCGTCCAGGGAACTTCATTTACGTAGGCTTAAAGAGGTTTTAAACAGGTTAATCGATGCGGGGTTGCGATTACAGAAATAGAAATGTGTTTTTTTTTTAAATGATGTTACGTATCTAGGTTATGTAATTAATAAAAATGGGTTACAGACGTGCCCGAAAAAGGTAAGAGCAATTTTAGAAGCTCCCGAGCCGTCGAACGTTACGGAAGTGAAGCGTTTCTTAGGGATAACAAATTATTATAAAACTTTTATTCCAAACGCTTCAAGTATATTAAAATCGCTTCACGAGTTGTTGAGAGTAGGTGTCGAGTGGCAGTGGGGTGATCGGCAGCGGCGCGCCATGCATGAAGTGCGGCGCCAGCTAGCGTCATTATCAGCATATAATTATATTGTACAATATACCCCGTGCAATAACAACGTTGTAGCAGATTATTTTTCTCTTATACTTACAGTTCGCTTAAGTTTTTAGATATACAACCCGCTATTTTATTAGAAAATGTGAGAGTGGCTACACGCAATGACAAAACTCTAAAAACTGTGACTGTGACAAAAAAAATTAAATGTAAATCAATATTACCATTTTTTAATTGTAAATTAGATTTGCAGATTTTGAATAATGGTGTATTGTTGCGCGGTATCAGGGTTATTATTCCGGAGTCACTTCAACATCGTATGTTAGACGAGTTACATAATACGCACATGGGTATTGTCAAAACAAAAAGTAATGCTCGTTCTAGAATGTGGTGGCCAGGTATAGACCGCGATATCGAGAGACGAATAGGCTCATGCGCCGAATGCATAGCGGAGCGAAGTGCGCCGTCGCGCGAGCCGCCCGCACCATGGCCTCGCGCGCAGGGCTCTTGGCAAAGGATTCGCATTGATTACATGACTATCGCTCAGCGTACATATTTAATAGTGATCGATTCTTTTAGTAAGTGGCTAGAATGTCTACTTATGCATAATGGCACGACTACTGAGGCGCTAATTATTAAATTAAAATTTCTTTTTTCCATTTTTGGTTTACCAAATGTAGTAGTATCAGACAACACAGTTTAGAGAATTTTGTTCCAACAATGGTATACAATATATGACCTCTCCTATATACCATCCACCTAGTAACGGAGCAAGCTGAGAACTCTGTACGAACTTGTAAGAAAATGCTAAAATGTATTTTGAAAGGTAATGTCGCCTTAAATATTATTCATGAGAAATTGTTGGGTTATTTGTTTACATATAGGAACACTATTCACTGTGCCACCGGTCAAACGCCTGCGCTATTAATGTTTGGTCGTAATTTACGAACGCGTTTGGATTTGATCATGCCATCACATAAAAACACAACAGCCGATGCCGATTCATCGTTTGTTATCTGCAGGAGACATTTCGAAATCGGTGATTACACTTGGACTCGTTGGTACAGTGATAGAAGGGAAAGTTGGGAACTAGGTATAATTAAAGAGTGTTTTGTGTGACATACTCGGCTGTTTAATTTGTTAGCATACATATCATACCCACCATTCAATGTAGGAATTGTTGTCGATTTGGCCACATTGCTAAACAATGTAAGTCCCAACCCCGCTGCTATAAATGTGCTCAGCCACATTCTGGTGACTCCTGCCCGATTCCTGACTCGGTAGTATCTTGCTTTTTATGTCGTGGTGGTAGCCATAGTGCTACTGATAACAGATGTCCCGAACATAACAGACAAAAATCAATCAAAATTGTTTTGTCTCAGGCAAATCATCGTATAGTTACAGCCATGTTAATACAGAAAAAATGGAAAACATTAAGAGATGGGTACCCCAGATATGTTAAAAAAATGAAACCAAAGAGTGGTTCAGCAGCCCTCAACATCCGGCCATATGCATATTATCAGCAGATGTCTTTTTTAAAGGCAATAATAGAAGATAGACCCGACAAAATAAACAATTTACAAGAAAGTGAGCATGCTGAAATTACGGCCGATGAAAGCGAAAATTAATTACTACAATCACAGATGAGAACGTCTTAATTGAAAAATTATCAAAACGCTTCGATGAAAAATCGCAGAATTCGCACATTGCTAATGAAGATGAAGACAAATTGTTTTTATTATCGTTAGCTGGCGAGTTTAAAAAAATTAATGAGCAGTATAAATTAGATGCTAAGACAGAAATACTTAACGTAATGAAATACTTTCAGGGATTGAGGGATAATGAAATTCTTGAGGGATGTCAAATCACACATATCCTTCGAGTTATGGTGACAGATATTCATGACAATATTCATCGTTTAATGATTACCGTGGACAATGGGGTTATAATACTGGCCCCTCTACCTCTACATCAGTGACTGACCCCTCTAGATCAGCGGCAGGCCCCTCTACATCAGCGGACGATGACCAAAATTCTCAATTTGAAGACCTTTCATCATCTTCAGTAATGTCCGATGATGTAATTTCTACAAACACAAACTCAGTAAATTATCGTTTGATGAACTTAGCAGCAAACTTGGAGATAAGTATGCCAAACCATTGTCCACAGCTTTGGAGAGGGCAGCTTTCAGGAAAAGAAACCAGCTTCATAATGAAAACATTGAGGATTATGTTTTAGCTTTGAGAAAATTAGCTATGGCCTGCCAGTTTAAAGATAAGGAAGACCAAATTAAAGAGAAATTTATTGAAGGAGTATCGTCTAAGGTTGTCAAATTTGAATTGATGAAAACTGAGACGGAGCTGTCACTAGAAAAATATATTTCACTGGCAGGCACAGTAGAAGCAGCATTATTACAGACAAATAATAACCATGAAATGACAGAAGTCTACTATAGTAACAAAGGAAAACCAAAACAGGATACTAAGAACAAGAATAACAACAGTGGACAGTATTGTTGCTGCGGGAAGAAGAATCATATCAGAGCGGACTGTACTCTGAAGTTAAAATACTGTTCAGAATGTGGTCAACAAGGCCATATATTCAGGATGTGTCCGAAAAAGCAACGACAAGTCAATGTTGTGGAGACGAACCCCGGGAATGTTAAAGAGGATGAAAAGCAGGTGGAAGTACCCAGTAAAGATGTAGATAAAGAATATATTAAGACTTGTGATATTAATAGTGTAAGTAAAATACCTCCCTTTTATCTAGAAATAAAGGTCAACGGTCAAGACATTTCTTTTCAGTTAGATACGGGGTCAGATGTAACAGTGATGTCAATCAAAGATAAATCAATGTTTTTAAGAGAATTTCAGCTCAAGAAAAGCAACATACTTTTTAAGAATTTTGACCAAAGTATTTCCCGTTCATTAGGTATTATAACAGATGTAACAATTAGATTTAAAGAAATTAACAAAAATTTAAACATTTTTATTGTACCTGACAAGGTACCTAGAGTCGAGATTGGTTACATGAGTTTAAATTATGGCCTCCAAATATTCAGAATAGTCTGAATATCGGTATTTATATGATACAAACTGTTGCAGATGCACAGCAACATCTGAAAACCCAGTTCGCAGAAGTATTCAGCCTGGGATGGGGAAATTTTAAAGGTGATGTGATTTCATTAAAGCTACAACAGGACGCTAAACCCAAGTGCTTACCAGTCCGGCGAATACCATTTGCCCTTAGAGAAAAGGTAAATAATGAAATTATTAGATTAATTGAAAATGGCAGAATTACTCCAGTAGAACAAAATTAATGGGGTACACCAATTGTGCCAATTTTAAAACCAGATGGATCAGTTAGACTTTGTGGTGACTATAAATTAACTATTAATCCTCACTTGGTTTTTGATCATTTTCATCTTCCCCATATTGAAGATATTATGGATGTTTTAAAAGGGGGAGAATACTACTGCGAGCTGGATTTAAAAGAAGCTTATTTACAAGCACCACTAAGTGTAGAAAGTAAGGACTGTACCAATATAGTTACTGAGTTAGGCACTTTCCAATATAATTTTCTACCTTTTGGTGTAAGTACAGGGCCAGGTTCATTCCAACGGTTAATGTCCAAAAAATTAGCAAACATTCCCAATACTATTTTATTTATTGACAATATTTACATTAAAGGAAACACCTTGCAAGATACTTATGAAACAGTATGTCAGGTTTTAAAAAGATTAAAAGAAAGTGAATTAAAATTAAAATCTAAGAAATGTTAACTCTTTACTACTTATTTAGAGGTTTTTGGTTATCGCATAGACAAAAGGGAATAGGGAATATGCATGTATTTTTTTTATTTTTTTTTAAAGATTCTACTAGTTATTACATTACCAAAAATAAATATAACACATCCGAAATATAAACCGTTAAGCAAAAATTTTTTTATTAAAATCACTATCATTTTAGGGTAATTTGAACACGTCCATTTTGGCGCGCTTTTTTTGTGACGTCAGATTACACTTTCAGACGAATTCGATGTCAACAACGGAGTGAAGTTCACAAAGTTTCTGAAAGTTAAAAAAGTGAGTGATAAAAATTAACTTATTAAAATGGAAAGCCAATAAAAACTTATTATAAATATTAAACCAATCAAAACTGCACCTGACAAAGTATATTCAGTCATTGTGTTGAGTCTTTCTACACGGGAATTTAATAATTTAACACTGAAAACGTATTAGTTATTAACTTAAAATGTAACAAATAATCACCAGAAACCAAATATTACAAATACACACAACTTGTTGACACTCTTGACAGTGTAGGTTGACGTCACGTTTTATTCAACCAATAGCGTTACGTTTTAGAAATTTGCGAGGGAATCTTAAAAACGCCAATTTTTAATGATTAAATTTCACTATTAAATTATAATAAATTTCAAAAAAAATGTATGGGTATCTTTTTTTAGCAATAAAAATTACAAATAAAAATATTTTGTCCATTTTGGTGTCACGTGCATATTCCCTATTAGTATTATTAAATCCAACATAGAACCATTATTAACTGCAGAGACACCAACCAATTTAACATTATTAAAATCATTCTTGGGAAAAAATAATTATTACTCTAGATTTTTGAAGGATATGGCAACCACTATTTCCCCTTTATATGAATGTACAAAAAAAACAGGTTTAAAAGGCTATAAAAAACAAATTAGCTTCAACAAATATTTTAAGACATTACCATCCTCAATTACCTATAATTTTAACATGTGACACTTCAGAAACTGGGCTGGGAGTAGTATTATCAAACAGAGATAGAGATGGTACAGTTAAACCTATTTCATATGCAAGCAAAAAATTAAATTCGGTAGAACAAAAATTATGTACTATAGATAAAGAAGCTATGGCAATTGTGTATGGGGTAACAAAGTTTTATAATTATCTCTATGGACAACCATTTGAATTGGATACCGACAATGCAGCCTTAGTACGAAATTTTGGACCTGCAAAAAGTATTCCTAAAATGGCTGCCAAAAGACTGCAACACTACGCCATCTTTCTATCAGCTTTTAATTATAAAGTACGACATATCAAATCAACACTGAACCCGGCAGACTTTTTGTCAAGAACTGTCACTGTAGGTAATTCAGAAAATGAAGAAGTTAATATCTATTTATTCTGTAAACAAATTCAAGTAAAGCATACATTTTCCCCACCTTACCACCCTGCTACAAATGCTGCAGCTGAGAGATTTGTGGAAACATTTAAATCCGCTGTAACAAAGATAAAAGAAAGTAGACAAGATCTTTATTCAGCAATTAATTTGTTCTTATCTGATTATAGAAGTACTCCACAACGTACCACTGGAGTGTCCCCGGCTAGATTAATGTTGGGTAGAGAAATCAGAAATAGATTTAGTTTGTTGAGGCCACCACCTTTGGTAGAGACTGTGCAAGACAGAGTGGAGGGGAGAGAGCAGGGAAATAGAAATGTAAAATTTAAAGTTGGACAAAAAGTAATGGTGCGGGATTACAGGAAAGGTGGCAAGCCATGTTCCAAGAACCCATGTTCTGGGTTTAATAATTGAGGAATCAATACCTGATGTTACCTATGTAATAGATGTTGAAGGTTGTAAATGGAAACGCCATGTGAACCAAATGTTACAGTGTGCGGAAACATTAAGTGAAAGTTAAGATAAGCAAAAAATCTAATCTGAACTGGCTTTCATCATCTACTAATAACATTTAAAACCACTTTATATATTAATAATTAAGATATGTACATTATTTAAGTGTTTATTAAATATAATGTATAATATTAATAGGATAAGCTACCAAACCTGAGTGTATGCATACTGTTATGTGCGGGAGAGTGTGAGAACTGGAACGTTTCTTACCTGTGGCACTGCGTGCCAAATATATATAATCTGTGTTCCACCCCGGTTGTAAGTTCATTGAATTTACGTGTGCTTTTATAGTAATTAAAACCTAGTATACAATATACAGAGTTTTATTAATATATAATACAGTCGAATAAATTATGAGGAAGTTTGTCAAGAACCCGGTAAATTCTTAGTCTTTGCATAATTCTTTCGACATGAATTCTAACTCGAACAATATCATATGTCCTTTGGGTTTCTTCTTGAGAGAATTCATTTTTATTTGCTAAAAATTGGTGGCATTACAATATTAACTTCCTTGCCACTTCATCTATAACTTTTTTTATTGCAGGAAAACCTTTATCAGCCAAAACTATATCTCCAGTTTCTAAAAGGTCAACTAATCTAGATTCAATAGTCATTTGTGAGTCAGTTTTTCTTCCACCAGCTACTTTAGATTTGAAAGAAATAAATCCTCCAGGTGTAATTCCTATTATAACTTTTGCAGTAAACCCTTTTTTATAATGTGAGTAATAAACACCACGATCATCCACTGCTGTCGGCATTTCAATTCGGAATTCAGTACAGTTAATAATAACTCTTGTATTTATGTAATCTGGACTGAAACACTTGGGCATTGTTGCTTGTACGGTGGCTCTATTCGGCCAAAAGATTAAATTAGCAGTTGCACAAGCTAGATTTTGTAAGATCGAATGAAATATTCGTGAGATTGTGGTTTTGTGTACACCAAATAACACTCAATGCTGAATCGGTCTTTAGTGTAAACTGTACAGTTTTTCATAGTTAATCTTGTTAATAAAAACTCAAAGTGCTAAATGACAGACCAGCAAGATCTAGGAGTTCTTGATATTTTTTTATTGATGAAATACCAACAAACTCTTTGCTTTTTGTTTCAGTAGATTGATCCTCATACGATTTTTTTTCAGTGCAACAGCTATTATCTTTCTTTCTTGAATTATTTGTCATTAAAATTCTTGATGTTGTTGCTATATCTACTAGGATTTCAGCATCACAGTGATCACTGTAAATTAATCTAATACAAATAAAGGTTGTATCTTTCAATTTCGATTCAGAAAACATATTGACATCCTTGATCGACCATAAGAGGTTTGAGAGGGCGTTTGATTTAATTCATTCCCTTCTTCAATTATTATTTGACTTGATGTGGTATGAGACTTTTATGGTTCTTCGTTTTGTCAATCGTGAATATCTAGCTAGGACCTGTGAATCATTAGCCTTCCTCTTTCGATATATTTCAGGGGATATCGTGGGAGCATAACTCGGACTTTCTTCCTCGTCAGATTTTTTGTTTCCTATAAAATGTTCACTACAAATTGTGTCCTCAGGTTTGGGATACCATGGCGATCCATCAACACTAAAATAATAAAGATAATAATAAATATCACATAAAATATAGCGCAAATAAAATTGATCATAATTTAAGGTTATTTCGCTTACTTATTTCTTTTTATGGCATCTATCCATTTATTTCTTTGATTTAATTTCCAGTCCAATGTAGGAAATATATAGAATTTACACCGACTATTTGTGCCGTTATTTTTGCAGTTCACGACAGAACAACATCTATTATTAGGCATTTTGATTTTTTTTATTTATTACGAACTCGGTGCAAATTGACTTTACTTTCCCGGATTGTTGTGTATTTCTGCCATGACAAGCGCTGCGATCGCTTTACTATACTATATACATACATATATACTATACCATGTACTTCGCACATATCGAATTTGGATCAATAGTATGTTCACCGACCAACTTAGCCTGGTTTCCTACTTTACTTTGTTCCTCTTCATTTGACAATAACTTCTTCATTCGATAAATTTTCATTCTACACTTCATATTCTAATTGTTCAACTACCACGCTTCCTTGACAATCTTTTGAATTTAAAATGTTTTTTTTTTATAATTATTAGCCTCCGTATCCATTACTTGCATTTCCATTTCCTGGGATATTACAGAGCAGAGCAGGGTAGAGAATATTGACTTTTAAATATAGCATCATGCTCATTACTAACATTTCGTGATTCTTCACATATACACGGTACCAATTCTGTAAATTTTAGGACCTATTTTTTCAGAAACAGTCGTCTATCTGTGTTTGGCATAAAGATATAAAGGGACTAATATTTCTTGAGCTATATTCTAATGACAGGTTGTCCGACCCTTCTTGAATAACACTGGAGCTTGCCACAATTTCTTCAATCACATTTGATACTATAAACGACAAGGAACTCTTGTTATAGTATTCCTTTTTATTTAAAGACAAATTTATCAATAATTTATTACGATTTCCACTCATTTTCGATCTAATTTATTAAATTTTAAGGACAATAATGTGATTAATGCGCCAATAAATCGAATGAAATAAATCATAGCAACCGGCGTTACACTTTGACCCACATGCAGCGACACTGCTCTAATATTCGTGGGACAGTATGCCCAAGAGAGATAGCAACAGCGCGTTTGCGCCGCCGCCGCGCCTTCGGCTAGCTGAATTAAACTGTAGGTAAACTATAAACTCGCGGCGCTGTCAAGCCAAGACACTACATGAAGATGCAGTTAAATAACTTGACGTAAAGGTTTTTTTTTTTTAAATACAGGTTTTTTTTATTTCTAGTATCTTGGTAAATAACCATCGTACACCAAAAAGAAAGTTTTTATGGCTTAGTAGACATTATGACGAGTAAAACTAACGTTATAAAGGCAAAACTTCAAGATTCAATCCAGGCAAAATTGTTACAAGAGGTGAAAGAAACAAATGTCTCTGTGCTTTATACAAAGCAAGGTAAAAAGCATCTTAAAAGTTTAACAACAGTAAATATAGTGGTCCCCGTTGCTTTAACTGTAACAAGTATGGACACATGAGCAAAGCATGTAATTTCAAGAAGAAAAATGAAGACAAAGGTTTTGCAGCAATTTTTTCAGCAGCCTGTGGTAATGTAAGTAATTGGACTGGTATGTGGATTCAGGAGCTTCATTACATATGACAAACAGTTCTGATGGTATGTATGATGTCCGGGCACCTCCGATAGAAAATATAACAGTTGCTAACAATACATCCGTCACCGTGAAGAAGATAGGTAACATTAAGGCCTAGCGCATATATACAATTTTTAGTTGAACAACTATTTTGTTGTGTTTCATAAGTTTAAAGGAATATACTATGATCACAGAATGTGCGCAAACTGTCAACACGATAGTTGTTCGATGAAAAAATTTAAAAGTTTTATCGATTTGCTTTTGATTTAAAAGTTGGACAACTATCGATCAAGCGCTCAATTTGTATTGCATTGTATTGATGTGCGCAGACCATCGACTAAACAGTCGATCCGCGAGTGCCGCGACTGACCGCGACTGCCAGTCTCGTATAAGCATTTGAAGCGGCGCCACGTCTCGTCGCCATGGCGGGAACTATTACGGACGACACGGAGGAGTTTATTAATAGCGTAGAAAAAACGCCTGCGCTTTACTTAAAGAGTCTAAAAGAGTACTCGGACATCAATCTGAAGAAAAAGCTATGGGAGGAAGTTTGCATGGAAGTCGTATCTGGATGGTTGGAATTAGACCCAGAAAATAAAAGAAAACGAGGTTAGTTTCGTGCATTGTATTATTTATTTCTTAAAAAAAACATTTTATACTATATCGTATTGCCAAGGTACAGAGCGTTGAGGAGAAACAAAATAAGACGTTAAGTATTGTCTTACATTTATACCACAGGTTAGGTTTCTGTCTCTGTTGTCACCATGAGATAATATATTTTCTAGTGGAGCGTCATAAAACGTGTCTTTGAATTGTATTCCATCTTTACTTCGTACGAGGTTATGTAGTACACAACATGTTTTTATTATAGATTCTGCAAAATCTAGGTTTACAGCCCTCTATGAAATATTCGCCATTTATTGGCTAAAATACCAAAAGTGCATTCTACCATCCGGCGAGCTCTTGTGTGTCTATAATTGTAGACTTTTTTTTCATAAGATAAGCCCCTTTTAGCATAAGGACGTAAAATATTATTGGAAAGCCCAAACGCATCATCAGCCACAAGATAAAACGGCAATTGTTTCCCATTATCGTCATGGGGCAATATTCTTCCATTCGGAATATTCAAACTATTTTCCTCTAATCTTTTTCCCATATTTGAGTTTTTGAAAACACTTGAATCGCAAGAACCTCCATATGCACCAACATCAATATAAATAAATTTGTAATCGGCATCAGTCCAAGCCATTAACACCATAGAATGGTATTTTTTTTTTTTAATTAAAAAATGAAGATCCAGAGTTATCTGGTTGAATTAACCGAATATGTTTGCCTTCGAGGGCACCAATGACATTAGGGAAATTAGTTCGAGTATAAAATTGATCTGCAATTTCAACCCAATCTTCTTCTGGCCTTTGAGGCATGTAAACTGGTTGCATTGTTGCCCAAATTTGATCACACGTATCTCTTACGATGTCTCTTACAGTTGTTGCTCCTATTCGATATGTAAATGAGAGGGTATTGAAGCTGTTGCCAGTTGCCAGATATCTGTAAAAAATATACGTATTACATAAAAATATACAGGGTGTAACGGAAAGGGGGTATAAACACGAAGGAAGTTAAATCTACTTCTAAGTGATAAAAGGCAAAAATAACACATGTACAAGTAAAACAAAACGTACGTATATTTGACTTGTCAAATGTCATAACAATATTTGCAGTTGTCTCGTCTCGAGTTCATTCGCAAATATATCAATTTCTTGTATTAACTTTTTATCTTGACCCTGGCACACCCTTACGGACTTCTGTTACAACGCTTTCGAACTAGATTACGGCTTTTCTTCCTGGACAATCGAACCATCTTTTCACATTGACTCTGGCATATTTCACGGACTTTATATACTTTTCTTGCGGATTTGGTTTTGGTTAACGATGGAGAACATCGATAGAGTTGAAAATGTTCTGTCTAGAATAGATAGAATCGGCACATCGGCACTGGATAATGTTCGTATGCCTAAAGCTTATATTCGCCATGAATATAATCAAGATCCATATAATTTGTGCGACGATCAATTTAAAAAAAGATATCGATTTACAAAAAATACGGTGAAAAATGTTATTTTGCCACTAATTGCTGACAAACTGAACCACTATGATAATAGAGGATTGCCAATAACATAAGAAATACAAATACTCATTGCATTAAGGTTCTATGCTACTGGAACTTATCAGGTACGATTTTATAGTTGTCTCATTTTATACTAGATTCGTAAGACTGTACACTTACTCCATAGATCTTTACCTCAATCAGATCATGTCATACCACCTGGCATGACCGTTAACTTTTTTCTTGTGTCTTTAGTAGGTTAGAGCCCCGTGGTGTTACCCACGGTACAACAACAACCACAGATATATAACCTATTTTACTCGGGGATGATTTAGCTTTCTAATGGTGAAAAAATATTCTAATCAGTTCAGTAGTTCCGGAGCCTATTCAAAGCAAACAAACAATCAAATCTTTCCTCTTTGTAATATTCATTAATATATAGATAAAAATAAATCAGCTTTCTTTTTAGATTCTTTTAGAATGTTTACTATTTTTCACCACAGTTTTGCATCAGATCAATATAGGAGCAATAAGTCCTAGCTACGAGTATATGAAATTTATTTCTTGGTCTATTGTCTGTCCCAGTAGTATTTTTAAATAACTTTTCTGTTTCAGACTGTTTGTGGAGATTTATTAGGCTTGAGCCAATCTACAGTGTGCATCATCATAAATAAAGTTTCCAGAGCATTAAGTCAACTTTTACTACAATTTATTCAATTCCCAAACCAGCTACAAAATGTCAAACAAAAATTTGAAGAGTTGGGTAGAACCAACCAACTACATGGACTTAACAATATAATTGGAGCAATAGATTGCACCCACATTAAAATAAATAGACCAAGAGGTATAGCTCACTCTGAAGCATACAGAAATAGAAAATCTTATTTTTCCGTTAATGTCCAAGCCGTTGTATGTCCCGATATGGAAATTTATGACCTTGTTGCACGATGGCCTGGAAGCGCTCATGATAGTCGGATATTTAGAAATAGCCGTGTTCATGCACGTTTGGCTAGTGGACCATTGCAGGGAGTCTTGGTGGGTGATAGTGGATACCCATCCATGCCATTTATTTTAACACCCTTGATACAACCAACAACACGTGCGGAAAATAATTACAATTATGTACAAATAAGGACAAGGAACATAATAGAAAGATTTTTTGGGTGTCTGGAATTGGAAAAGGTTCTCATGTCTGCAATTGGGCCTCAGAAACAAATTAACAAATGTGTGCAATATAATTGTTGTTTGTGCAGTGCTTCACAATATTGCAATAAGAAGCAGAGACAATTACTCAATTGTAGAAGAAGATGCATAGCAAATTGATGAAGTGCAGTTAAATTCAAGAATGTCATTAGCTGCAGGATTAGCTTTTCGACAATCCATCGTAGAAACTTATAATTGATAAAGAAATATAATATTAAGTTCTTAGTTTTTATTTAATTCTTTTTTCAACAAATCTCTTTTTAATTTTAATATTTCCAGTTCTACTGCATGTTTTTCCTGATCTTGCTCTATCTGTTTAGTAACTTTTTCAATTTCTTTTTTCACAAGTTCCTTTTTTAAATCCTCCAGAGATTGTTCCGGTTTTATTTTCTTTGCTGGAGCTGGTGCTAGTTCCGGGGTTGTGGGCATTGTGAGCCCCTGGAGAGAACAACCCGGTAGAGTATTAATATCTTGTACCTCTTCCCCGAGAACATGAACTTCCATGTCCATCATTCTATTTTTTTTGTTTTGCCAGTAAACACCGTCATCATCATTTGTTTCACCTGAAACCAAATAAGATATCATTTCTTACAAATAACTAGATGCTGTATGTGTATGTATATGTAATTAAAACAAAGTTGTTAGTACTACATATTTATAACTGATGCATGGCTAGACAAATCTTACTGAAATTTGGCACAGCTAGATTATAGTCTGGAACATCACATAGGGTATGTTTCACCCCACATGAACAAGAAATTCCCACACCAACGGGAATATCTAGAATGTTACAATGCCTGGACATTTAATTTATAGTAACAAAATGAACAACTATTAAATATAAATTTTAGTGAGTACTTACTAAATTGCGAGGTGCTTGATTGGATTATATCACTATCTATCTCAACTTCAATTGTTGGCATTATAGTTGGTAATATAGAAAGGACCTGGGTCTCTTCGGATCCTGTAGCCGGAGGTGCAGGTCCACCACCAGTCCATTTTTTTTGGGCTTCTAAAGTTTTAGCCTTCGTTTTTAGATTTCGCCACATTTTTTTAAGTTGAGCAGCATTCGCCTAAAAATAAAACAGATAATGAAAAGAGAGAACGAGGTTATTACAATCCCAAGTAGGTGGATATGTTATTTACTACTTTATTCTCTAGAATTTTAACTTACTCGCTGGGATACGTTAGGCGAGTTATTGTAGTGGCATGCAATATCCTCTCAGGCTTCTGTCTTCCTTTTTTGCGATGTACCATCGGTCTTGCGATTCTCCACTATGTCCATTTTCGTCGTCACCAACTGCATAAGCAGTTGTTTTTCAAATTCACTGTAGGGCTTCTTTTTTCTTATCGTCGGTGTTCATGACAATAGTAATCGATGTCCGTAGATGAGCAAAAAAGGGTCGTCGTGAAAGCAGGTACTAGTCCGAGGGAATACAAGGGTCGTCGTGAGAGCAGGTACAAAATCCGAGTTAATGCAAAAGGTCCAAAAGTATAAAAGAGTTCAAGCGCAGAAAACACCACGAAGCGAAAACAAAGATTCAACAGACAATGAGAGTTTATGAGACCACATACAATGACAAAACAAAAAATCCATAGATTACCATTGATAGATTGTTGTTTACAATAGAATTCCATTGTCTTTGGTGCTAATATTAAAATAATTTAATTTTAAGGCTTTTCATAGCATCTCCTACTATTAATGAGCACGTAAGTAATCGCTAAGTCATGGATTTTGGTGACTTAGACTATGCTAAGCATTTGCTCAGCTTGAGCTAAGCATTATGACTATAAATTTCAACGCACACTTAACTCGTTAGGTAAGTCTGAGCAAAGTCTAAGTACGCTTTATAAATTTCAGCCTATTCTCTCTTCTACTGATATGGCGCATCTCCATCTTGTATCTTGGCGTTTAATAAAAGGACCCACGAATGAAATTATTTCATTAAACGTTTCTTCACTCATTCTATAATATTTGAAAAACTTGTCTGGGTGCTCCTTTAGCTTAGAATGTAACGTATGAAATATTCCACTAGATAATCTATCACTGAGTACAGGATGTACACAGTATCTTCTTTTTTGACGTGACAACGTCTTATAATTCGATGGAGCCGGCTGCACGCACGAAAAAACATGACGCATGCGGCGTTACCTCGCTCTGAGGCGTTCTATTTAAGGCTTGAAGTGCAAGCGAGAGCGCGGAACGAGCGACAAAGAGGCACAATCGGCCTCCGCGTTCGGCAGCTTTCGACATCTGTCTCTCTCCTACTTGAGTCAGCGATGCGTCCACGTGGCCAGCTGCTATACAATAATACATTTACATGTTTTCGTCAAGTATGAAGCGTAATTAAAATTTTCTTTTGAAAAATGCAACCGTTCCATCAGTATTTTCTTATGACGTTGTCACGTTTAACTATCGTCAGTAAACCGACTTTACAGACAACCGATTTTTTTTATCTCTTTTAAAATTTCTTTAAAGCAAAGCACAAACTTAAACTTTCTTGTTAATTGACCTTGTTTGTAAACACCTTGACTCGAGCGTTGCTGAATAAAGACTGGTCGATTTGAGGAGATAAAAAAATCGATTGTATGCGCACTTCCTTCAACTAAACTGTTTAGTTGAGTAGAAATCACGAAAAGTACAAAACTCGACGAAACAGTTTGGTCGATGCAACAGTTGTATGTATGCGCTCGGCCTAACCTTGCCCTCCTGACTTCTGATGGTAAAGTAAACCACATACAGGTGAAAGAATTTTATATGTTCCACAATTGAGTGCCAACTTGTTAGCAGTTATTCAGCTGTCAAGTTTTAAGTTGTTTTCCACTGTCGCCACTGCCGCTACCGCGACACCGCAGGAGGAGAAACGCAGGCGTAGATACCCGCCCCTCATCGTTGAGCTACTACCGAATCGGGCTCAACATATGAAGAAGCTGAAGAACAGACTCGGCAGGGTCGCGAACGCCCGCCCCTTCGAAAAGGGCCTTCGTTTTACGCCCAAAGATGACCAGGAGTTCCGGCTAATCCAGCGCTACTTGACGACGCTGGAAAAGACGGAGGGTATCTCCTGGTTCACCTACGCCCTACCCGAGGAACGAAGCCTGAAGGTGGCCATAAAGGGCCTCCCCTTCAACACGACACCAGATCATGTAGAAGAGGAGCTGCGGGATTTGGGCTTCGACCCGGAGTACGTCCGCAACATACGGGGCTGTGGTGACCGCCCGGGGTGCATCCTCCTCGCCATACTAAAGAGGACCGCCACACAACACCGGGGATATACGACGTACACGAGATGTTGGGTATCCCCGGCGTAAAGATTGAAACCTGGCGGGGAAAGAGAGGACCCGCACAATGTCGCCGCTGTCAACAATGTCGGTACAGCAGCCACAACTGCGACAAAAGGTGGCATGTGTGCGCTGCAGTGGTTACCACCCAGCATCAGGCTGCCCGCGTCCGCGGGAAGAGCCTGCCACCTGTGCAAACTGAGGGGGAGAGCACCCCGCAAACTACACCAAATGCCCCCCCCCCTTCCTGAGGGAGCTCAGATACAGGAAGGCGGGCACAGTCGCCATGACCGGCGAGCCGCGCTAAGGGCCGGCGCCCTTGGGGCAGCCCAAAGGCGAGAGGGGATAAGGGGCGTCGCTTATGGCGGCAGCAAACGCCTCTACCCAACGATACGGAGAAGCCACCACCTTCAAAAGAGGGCGAAGGAGGAGGAGGGGCAGAAAGGGGAAAGCACAGACAGAAGCTCCCCAACCCCAGACAGGAAAGGTCCACCATGTGGCGGAGCAGCCGCCTTCCTCCAGCAGACCAGTCGCCACCCCGGTTGCCACCGCCGCGCCCACAGGCGAAGGCAAAGGTTGAGTACGCTGTGGCTGGTGTACGATTCGTCTCTTGATTAGTAACGCCAGACCTCAGTAGACGACGTTTTGGTCGGTTTTCTCGTCCCTCCGATAGACGAAGTATCCCGGGAATCTTATTTGATCTGCAGGTCCCAGGAGCGTCTTGCTTATCAGCGCCACTTCGATGTCCTGTTCCTGCAGTAGGGGGCGAAGTACGTGGGCGTGATACGATTCACGTGTAATTTTATGGTTTTTGTATTGATAATATCGTAAATAAGGCTATAATTGAAATAAAACATTGATAATTGTAATTTAGAATCAGTGTTACCATTAAACAATCATTTTGGTTTTCCCACATTAGTGGGAGAATTTATAATTTATGAAATAATATGCTTTATACTGTATAAAACTTTCCGACACGAGGTCTTTGTCTCCTAAATTTGGGCTCATTGTATTAGCGTCAAAAACCTTAGAGACGCTTCAAGGAAACAAAATATTAAAAGAATTTGCAATACACCCTGGGGATTATTTATTATCAGTACAAGTTGATCATTCACTTTTATTATTAAATGCCATTATTTATACATACGTAAAAATAAGATTGTATCATGAAAGTAAAATATCCACACAAACTTATAAAAAAGAGTCTAAAAGACAATTGTATACAAAACTGATGCTTCACAGCGGAGTTTGATTTTACATTGAATATAAACCCTTTTAACCAAATATTTCCAGTTATTTTATTATTTATACCTATTCCATTTAATTCGAAATTTATTTAAATTTAAATATTTAAAATAATATAAAATATTTAAATTAATTTATTTTTTAACAAAATTGTTTAAAAAAAAATTGTTTCTTGGTTGTTATGGGTAAATATGGGTAAATACGGTAGTCAACACTGGCCCACCATCGTAAAGTTATGTCTTTGTCTTTGTCTAATCCGAGCGATGGTATTGTTCTTGTCTCGCGTGTAAACGAGACATAAATATGTTTACTTTCAAATGTTTAGTGGTATCAAAGCTACGTCGTCAAAGTTCAAAAGTGGTTACACTTTTTTCGACGTGTGATAATGAGGTTTGCTTCTCTAGTGTTGTTTTAACTCAATGGGTGCGACTGTATCTACCAAAAAGGTTGGTGAGAAACATTATATATCAAAATCGAATAGTATTGAACACCTTCATGAGCCCGATCAAGATGCTTCCACAGCTTTGACTCTAAGGACTTCTTTAAAAAGACAAGCAAGTATTAGATTCCATAGACCAGGTCAAATAATACAAAAATATATCCAAAATGTGCCTAGTACTTCTGCACCTTACATGCCGTCAAAGGAATCAATGCGTTCAATTATTAATCGTAACTAAAAGAAACCGCAACATACCCAAACTACCTAAAACATTTAAAAAATTCACAGTGCCCGAAAAATACACGAAAATAAATGATGAAACCTTTTTGATTGGCCATTATATTGATGAAAAGAAAAGGATAATAGTTTTCAGTACAAATCGAAATTTAAGTTTTTTGAACATTTTGGATTATAGACGGCACTTTTAGATGTTGCTCCGAATTGTTCTACCAACTTGTTTCAATTCATGGGCGTGTTGGTGAATCTGAAGATACAAACCAAAGATCCTACATAATTTTTTTAGAGATTGTGAAAAGATACACACTTAATAAACTACACACTGATCTAGGTCCTAATTTCATCATAAGTGACTCCCAAATTGAGAGAAAAGAGTGTATACCCAAATTCTCAGCACAAGTGTTGTTTCTTTCACTTTCGAATAATTCGAAACATTCGAAGAATTGATCAACGAACAAAACAACTTAGATTATGAGGCTGAAAGAATAAGCGCTGAAATTAAAAAGCGAAAACGAAGCACAACAAATTACCTAAATAAACTAAAAAGGACGACATGAATATTGAAGATTATTTGAGTGGACTTGCGCACCTATGTTATATAAAGAAAACATAATTAGCATTAATTATTTATAAAAGCAGTGTTGGTATTTTTAAATAATTAAATTTTGTTTTTTTTTTTGGAACACGTTAAGAACAATATTTAGAGTTTATGTGATTACTATCAATTTGTAGTGAATGTAGGTGGCAGGGAGAAAAGTATACGTTTTGTATTATTTAGATTAAGTTGAGTAAGCACCCTACATGAATTTTCCTTCTGTTTATTTTATTATAATTATCTTTTGGTCCAATTATAAATAAAGTTTGCTTACAATTTTTGTTTATTTAGTCATATCCAAAAATATAATACATATTTCCACTATCACCAGTATCAAGAACCCTCCTACATGACCTAATAATCGAAATTGCAATCATCTCAGTAAACAACTTTCTCAACAACGTAGGTGTATCGCAAAGGGAAACTTTCGAAATAACCTACATCGCAGTAAAAAACTTCCGCAACAACGAACGTCGCGATAATAAACTTTCGCTGTAACGTACGCTGTAACTTCGCTATTATGACTTACACCCATTCACAACATAATATTAATTTAAAACGTATTAACTATATTATTATTATTATTATTCAGAATTTACTGAAGCGTTGTACTCATATAATGGATTTTGTATACATTATAGAAAATAAAAACACGGATACTAATAGCAATAAGAGCAAAACAGCAGCTTAGCAAAATGTATTGCAAAGGTTAGTAAAATCTCGTGTATATCATTGTAAGTATTTCGTGTAGGTGATTAAAAACTATATAAAATTTACAGGTTTAATTAATTAAATAATCGCGTGAGGGATTTGCCAGGAATAAAACAACAATGGCGCACAATGAACCTGGATGAGAAAAAAAAAAATCAGATGTGAAAACATTGATGAAACGCACAGGTGGTGGACCAAAACCTCCTAGCCCGGACCCAGAGACTTTGGAAATAGTGAGCATGATTCCACAAGAATTTGAAACAGATAGGAATATCTTTGATAGTGATGGCATTGGTATGAGTCCAAAGGTGAGATAATTTAAGTTTGTTCCGTGGAACTGCATTTTGCCCACATGCAATTGTTGTTGTTTGTGGCTATGTTAAATTCATATTTAATTTTCTATATTTATTTCAGAAACTAGATCTACAACTAGATGATAGTATTAATACTCAGGAATTGGTTCTCACACCAGCAGTATCTAATACAAAAATTACAGCTGAGCTTTGTCAAATTACGTTAACATACATTATGGGGTATGATAGAGATATGTACACTGGGTAGTATTTGCAATTGTCAACATTGATTGTAGATAACAATATTTTTTACTGGAACATTGATTTCTGCATCCCTAAGAACTTGTTTTAGCCTGCATACTTGTAGTTTGTGACGTAATGATGAGTGTACACTCATATTACACAAGCTGCTGTCTTTACCATTAAACTGTTTCCGTTCAAATTAATAGTGAATAAAATGCATTGTAATCTATTACAATGCACCTATAAGCAAAATAAAATTACATTTTCTAATTAGTTTTTTTTTGTGGTTACAGAATATGACGACACCAATAACATCAAAGATAAATTTCTTACATCAAAAGAAATCTGTAATGAAACGAAAGCTACCATTCAATGATGATAATAAACCAAAACACTTGGTAAGATTAGAATTGATTCTAGATAGTAACAAAGGCTAAAACCATTCTGTGGAAGCTGCTATTACTTTTGTTTAGGTTCTACAAGTAAATCTCATACTCCTTGTTAGGGATGTTCAAATAATATACAGTTTGTGGTTCTATACACTAAAAACATTTGATTGGATGTTGATTTATGGTGTAATACTTTATTTTTCCTTTCCAACAAATAACTGGAGGCAACATTCGGTACCCTGAACTGTGAATGTTAATAAATTTTCTGTATTTGTTTTAGGGCAAAGAGTTTACAAAAGAAAGAAATCATGTCCTTCTTAGTTGTATTAGAGAGGAACATGAGCTCAAGATGAAAAATATTATGGAAATCCATAGATTTGCAACGGAGGAGCATAATTTAAGAATTCAAATTCAAAACAGAAATCAAAATTTATTAAATGAAGAAAGTCAGCTTCGAATGCAGAAGCTAAAATTGGAGATAGCACTATTGAAAAGTACAAACAATTTATAAAGATAAATAAGTATAATTAAAAATGTGTTTCAATATATATCCGCCTTGATTCTTGACCAGTAACACTGTCAAATATATCTCTTGGCACATTCTGTCTCGCAGTATCCTCAGTTGTATCAGGTTCTGGAAAATCCATATCTTCGTTCATATCAATAGCAATGTTACGCAATACAGCAAGTGCTACTATATATAACTTAACATTTTCGAGTGATACGCTGAATCCATGTAAAAGACATCTGAACCTTTGCTTCCAAATTCCAAAGCATCTTTCAACTGTATTTCTTGTTAATATATGAGAACGATTGTAAGCTTCCTGCTTGGCATTACAAGTATTTTATAGTGGTGTAAAAAAATAATTTGTTAAGCCATATCCTGAATCACCCAATAAAATGCCATTAAATTCTCCATTTTCGAATCGTTGTCGTAATCTACTCTCTCTAAATATTCTTGCATCATGGGTGCTGCCTATATCTATACTATACTATATCTCTAATCCGTAAATGAGAATCACAAACTACCTAGACATTCAGTGATGAAAAGCCTTTTCTGTTAATATAGTATTGAGCGCTATCTCCACTTACTTTTTTTATTCTCACATGGGTGCAGTCAATAGCACCTATTATTTGTTGCAAACCACAAATGTTTCTGAAGCCTAACAGAACTTCTGCTTGTTCTGCTGCTCTTGTAGGCATATATACAAATGCTGATGCTTTATTAGCCCAGGCTAAAGCTACTCTGCGGCACACATTCGTGATGGATTGCTGGCTTAGTCCATAAATATCTGCTGCATCATCCTGAACTTCTTGTCGAGCCCATGTTCTGAGAGCAGTACAAACTTGAAGTTCTATTGACAGTCCACTACCTCGAGCTTGCTGTTCAATATCGCATCGAATTAATTCACAAATTTTTCTGACATATCGTTTGCTGAACCTATATTTTGACCGAAACACATTTTCAGACGTCAGTCCGTGTGGTGACGGATTAAGAATACAGTGTCACTACCCCTATTCATCCCGTGGGTGTCGTAAGAGCCGACTAAGGGAGCAAACTACTCAGAACAACAGCATTGCAGAGAGAAGGAAAACTTGACACAAACCCTATACCAACCCGTCTGGCCAGCGAGATATAGTAGGCCAAAACCTCCTTTCTAAGGAGAGGCCTATGTCCAGCAGTGGACTATTAAAGGCTGTTGATGATGATGTGATGTGACATTTTCAGATAAACAGAAAGGATCATATCGATTTTTGTAACATTTTCTTTTTCTTGGTGGTTCTTCATTGTCAATTTCATCAAAAATTTCGAAATGTTGTAAATAATCCATGGTTTTCAAACTTAAAATAACGTAAGCAACTAATTATTATAAGTTACACGTTCGCTAAACAAGGGCCGAGGGCTGAATAACGATTGTCTAAAATCTCATTGTTTCCAAACATCTGTGCACCAGATGTATACAACCGAAACGCCAAATATTGTTTTATTGGTAACGTTTTTGTTAAATCCTGTTTTACGTCTGGTATAAAAGTTTATTGGTAAGGCCGTTAATATAAATATCCTATATATGCTATATTTTTCATAAAATCACATTTTTAATTTCTTTTGTGCATCTACCATGTTTTAGCTCTGCATCGCCCTAAGGTTGACTGGGAGAAAATGCCTACGGCATTAAGTCCACCTGTGTCACATTTGTGCATTAAGTGTAAAAAAAAAAAAGTCCTGTTTTTCACGATTTTTCAGTCATGTAAAGGATAAAAAATAGGATAGCAGATATTGATTCTTTCTAATTATAAACTGATATATATTATATGATGATTATATATGACGTTGAATCCGAAGTAATATACTACACAAACGCAAATTTCAGTCGTTGAACTAAAAAAGGTTGTAGGCATCCGTCCGATAATGAGCTTGGCACCATTGAAAAATATTCGAATGTACAGGCACCTGAATTGAGTGTTCGTCTGATTCGGGAGACAATGTCACTAAATAATTTCAAAAGAATGTGCCAGTTCCTACATTTCAATGATAACACTGTGTAGCCGCTATTCTTCTCAGGCGGACTACTCACCGGCTGACCCAGTGGAGAGATTTATGAGATAACCTCAGGGCGCCTTTTAAGAGAACAGATGTGTGTGCGTGTGGGAAACCTACGGGATTCCCTAGAGGAAAACAACTTACACCTCAGTTATACATACATGTATATTTCAAAAAAACCTAATTTAATTTACAATAAAAAAAAATTAAATAAATTGATCAGTGGGTACAAGAGAAAAAAAAACCGCAGCGGAGCGCGTTAGAGCCGAGCTGATGGTGCTCGGAGCCTCCTCGTCTTCACTCCAGGAGGTTACTTCCTCTTCCGCCCGAGTCGGCTATTTATATTGGATATTGAGAAAAGTTCACAATTGGCATTTATAAGTTTATAAGTAAGTACGTAACCCTTGGGTACGGCTGTCCGCTTGCGTCGTGAGCCGCGCAATCACCAGCTTGCCAGAGGGTACCGAGAAACTTGAATCTGAACCAGAAGGCCACAAACGAGCAAGCACGCCGTCTGAGACTGACCGTCTTGACCCCGAAATCTGGGACCCTACGAATGGATTAGAACTCATATTATTGATCAGGTTCCAGAAACAAATAGGTACAAAAAAAAAATTAAGAACATACTCACCACTTTCGTGGGTACTTTTGAACAGATAATATATTACGAAAATCAAATCACACAACAATCAAAACACTATTTAAGATTGGAAGACACGAGATAGCAGAGTGTCTCCCGTGGCTGAAAGCCGGACTTATATATCTTCCGTTCCCGAAGCTTCCAGAAACTATCCCTACTCAACACTTTACTTTGACATTTAAATTATCGACGAGGTTATACGAACAAAATCAAAAGTAACTCGCTTTCTACCATAACAAAACACTCTCAATACCTATACAATTTGTCACGACAAATCAATAAACTGACTTATCCACAAACAAACGCCATCTAGTGGTCCGACAGTGAACGAAGAAGATCAATACTGTAGTTATAAACTACTTTAGATAAATCAACAACAATGCGACGCGGCCAATAGGTGTCGCTTTTAACAAGACCGTACGCATTACAAATATACTAAAAAATAACTGTTACAACCGTAGGGGTTAATACATAGGCAACGAGGCGACGCACACTTAGGTCGCATCGGTTATAAAAAGCCTTTTGTCACGTAGGACGCGGTTCACTAGTTGTGCATCATTTGTAGGTATAACATCTCTGTGTGTTGTGAATAAACAGTGTAAGAATTAGGTACCACCTTTCATTTAACATCATCACCTAAAGTGGTGACCCTGAGAAAAAGTAAACAGTGCAACCTTCAAAAATATTGTCGAAATTTTCAAGATGACTACCACACCACCTACACCTGCATCGGAGTTAGCGGCGATCACCTTGACCTCCAAAATTCCCGAATTTTGGACAGGCCAGCCCAGGGTTTGGTTTATCCGGACTGAAGCAATGCTGGCACCACAAAAACTATCGGATGAGGCCAGGTACGATATCGTCGTGTCAAAACTAAGTAAAGAGGCTATCCAGCAAGTCACCGATATTTTAATAGAACCGCCTGCCGTCAAAAGATTCGAAGCACTGAAGACCCGTTTGCTTAAAATATACGAAGAATCGAAAAACCGTCAGTTACAAAAAATAATAAGTGAGATGGAGCTAGGAGATCAGAAGCCGTCACAGCTTTTACGGCGTATGAGGGAGCTCGCAAAAGATAAAATACCGGACGACACCCTTAGAATATTGTGGCAAGGTCATTTACCAGACACAATCAGAGCGGTATTGGCAGTTTCAGAGACTAAAGAACTGGACAACCTTTCGTCCATCGCTGACAACGTTTACGAGACGTCACGGACTGTACATCAGGTTAACGAGGTCTCACAGCCACAGCATCCCACTGTGAGTCAAGACACCGAAGCTATCATGGCTGAGATAGCGAAACTAACTCTCAAGGTTAACGAGCTGGAGAGAGCAAGGCCCAAATTTCGCCGTCGGTGGAACAATAATCAGCGGTCTCGTTCCACGTCACGTAACCGCAGTCGTGATCGGACTACGCCGCAACGAACCCCAGACAGCCCAGACTGGCTATGTTATTACCACCATCGGTTTCACGCGCGTGCAAGGAAGTGCGTGGACCCCTGCTCATGGAAAGCGTCGCGGCAGGAAAACTAAGTGAGGCGCAGCCGACGGCGGAGCTCTGCGCCATATTTCCTGGACACCGCCTTAAAATAACGGACATAAACAGTGGACTTACCTTCTTGGTAGATTCGGGTGCCAATATCTCCGTTCTACCGGTGAAAAGAAAGTGCAGTGCTAGCGAGTGCAGTGATTACAAGTTATTCGCGGCGAACGGAACGGAAATTAAAACTTATGGACAAAAATCGTTAGTGTTAAACTTTAAATTACGCCGACCCTATCGGTGGGATTTCGTGATTGCCGACGTGAAGCAGCCAATATTGGGAGCTGACTTTTTAAGTTACCATAAGCTTCTTGTTGACGTCGCTTCACGAAAACTTATCGACCAGGTAACGGATTTGAAAGTTATAGCATTTTTAACTTGTACGAACGAACCTTCTGTACTTTCCGTTAGCACGAACCATCCCTATCATGAGCTATTATTAAAATTCCCTAGCATTACCAAACCGATGTCATTCACTGAGTCTTCTCCAAGTCCCGTACAACATTGTATCGAAACTACGGGGCCACCCGTGTTTGCTAGAGCTAGACCGCTTCCCCCCGCGCGTTATAAAATCGTTAAAGCAGAGTTTCAGAAAATGCAGGAACTGGGTATATGTCGGCCGTCAAAGAGTGCGTGGGCAAGTCCCTTTCACGTTGTTGAGAAGAAGAACGGTGACATTCGACCGTGTGGCGATTACCGCCGATTGAATGCTATCACAAAACCCGACAGATATCCAATTCCGCGTTTACAGGATTTTACGTACATCATGGCTGGCAAAAATATTTTTTCTAAAATCGATATAAATAGAGCGTATCATTTTATTGAAACAGCGCCGGGAGACATAGAAAAAACCGCGATTATAACACCCTTCGGCTTGTTTGAATTTCCTCGAATGACTTTCGGATTGCGTAATGCAGCACAGAGTTTTCAAAGGTTTATGGATTCCATCTTTAGAGGTCTAAATTTTGTTTATACGTATATTGATGACGCATTAGTATGTAGTGAAAATATTAGTCAACATGTCGAACATTTAACTTTTATTTTTCAGAGATTACATAACCACGGTATAACAATAAATTTGTCTAAATGTGCATTCTGTCAAACTACATTAGAATATCTAGGATATCAAGTATCAGCTAAAGGCATACGTCCGTCCCAGGAGAAGGTCAAGGCCATCATGCAGTACCCAAAACCGGAGACTGTTGAGGGGCTGCGTCGTTTCACAGGTATGATCAACTTTTACCGCGCTCATTTGCCCAACGCAGCGTCATATCAGTCCTTGTTCAATAAGTATCTCGGTAGCTCAAAAAAGAACGACAAAACAAAAATTCAATGGTCGGACGAAGCGAGCGAAGCATTTGAACGATGTAAACAAGGTCCTAAAGAGGCCGCTGCATTGTCACACCCCCGGACTGATACGACACTATCCTTGATGACCGACGCTTCTGATTTTTGTGTGGGAGCAGTCTTGCAACAGGAAGTCGATGGTGTTTGGGAACCCTTAGGTTACTTCTCAAAAAAGTTATCTACAGCCCAATAAAAGTATTGTACATATGATCGTGAGTTACTAGCTATATACATGTCTCTAAAATACTTCCGAAAATTGTTCGAAGGACGACAGATAACCGTTTACACCGATCACAAACCATTAACATACGCCTTTTCTAAACTCGGTAGAGAATCGAACGAAACACCCCGTAGAATTAGGCATTTACTTTACATTAGTGAATTTACAACAAATATTTGTCATTTAAGCGGAAATAAAAATATCATTGCAGACAGTTTATCGCGCATAGAAACAGTTTATTGTCCTACAGTTCTTGATTACGACAGAATTGCAAAAATACAAGAATCGGATGACTATGTGACCCAGATAATGTCTAACGCAAGTAACAACACGTGTATTATTTTAAAGAAATTATATTTACCTACGTGTAATAAAGCAATTTATTGCGACGTATCTACCGAAAATGCAAGGCCATATATACCCATGAATTTAGACGTAACGCATTTGAAAGTGTCCATAATTTAAGCCACCCAGGTATACGCGTCACCCGAAAATTAGTCACCGAAAAGTTCTTTTGGCCAAACATGAATACTGACATCAATAATTGGTCTAAAACGTGTATTAATTGCCAAAAAGCCAAAATTCTGTCAATTTTGGCTTTTTGGCAATTAATACTTCTAATTTAGAACAATATCCAAAATCTAATCGCTTTGAGCACGTGAATATTGACATAATTGGCCCTTTACAAATTTCAGAAGAGGGGTATAGATACTGTTTAACGATAATCGATCGGTGTACACGGTGGCCTGAAGCGTTTCCCATACGTGATATAAACGCAGAAACGGTAGCGAAAGTTTTTTATAATAACTGGATCTGTCGCTATGGTACACCTGTGCGACTTACAAGCGATCAAGGTCGCCAATTCGAAAGTTTTCTGTTCAAAAACCTTTTAAAATTACTAGGAATAAAAAGGATCCGAACAACGGCTTATCACCCACAAGCTAACGGAGCGGTGGAGCGATGGCATAGAACCTTAAAAGCCGCCCTTACGGCGCGCTTGAGCGTTAAGTCCTGGGTAGAGGAACTACCTACCGTACTATTAGGACTTAGAGCTGCATTTCGGAGTGACAGCGGAGTTTCTGCGGCACAGTTAACTTACGGTCGTACATTGCGTTTACCTGGTGATTTCTACGAGACTACGCAAGTAGGTTGCTCAGAACCTCATAGCCTAGTAGAGAATATCAGGAAGACTATACAGTCATTGAAACCCGTGCCTAAATCACATAATAACTCACGTCCATGTTTTGTCCATCCAGACCTCTCTAAGGTTGAATATGTGTTCGTTCGCGACGACACTGTACGTAGACCTTTGAAACCCCCTTACGACGGCCCATACCGCGTTTTAAAAAGGAGGGCAAAGGTGTACGTCATACAGTTGCCTGGTAGGGCAGTCAGCATTTCTATTGATAGACTTAAACCTGCGTATATTTTAACAGATAACGGATCGGTTCATGTCGATGTTGGTACAGAAAGTTCAGATAATATAGTTACTCGTAATCAGGCGGGAATCGAACCCGTATCCGTGCCTTCTAACATTGACACAACTCGCTCCGGTCGTATAATTAAACGCCCAGTAAGGTTTAATGATTAAGGTTTCACCCAGTGCATGCGACAGTAATGCTAAGAGATTTGAGCCTCTGTACTATAAAGATAGCAAGTAGTGTTAAACGATGAATAACGTAGCATAGCGTCACATCGTGTAGCTTAGTAGTCACAGTAACAGTTCTTTGGAGCAAAGGATTGAATTATATGGACTTGTTATGGCAAGTTCACTAGCGATTATATTTATCGTTGCAGTATGGTTTGTTTTCAAAAGGTGTCATATTGGGGCAAAAAAGTGGGCTCGTAAGGAGTTCATCTCCGCAGTGTCGTTGAGCCAGGTGGACAAAGCCGCTCAACAACCTGCTACTGTTCCCTATGTGTGAACATATATTGTGTAATATTGTCAGATTTTTGATATTGTGTAAACAAACTTATCGTATACATATTTTGTCGTGTGTGTTATGCAGTATAATATGATATATTTAGTATAGTAATTCCCGTGACATGGCAACTAGCGCCGGACATTTTATTTCCACGCTGATAGTTTTACATAGAATATAAGTAATACTATACAGTAACTGTGCACCTGCACAGTACTCAGCATTTTATCGTTCTCATAACAATTATTTTCAGTATTTACTTTTTTGCAATTTTGCTAAATGATGTATCATGTATCCCTATTGTTGAAATGATATGTCCCTATTTAAAGGACGTAGGACGCGGTTCACTAGTTGTGCATCATTTGTAGGTATAACATCTCTGTGTGTTGTGAATAAACAGTGTAAGAATTAGGTACCACCTTTCATTTAACATCATCACCTAAAACACTACTCAAGGGCCTTAGGAGTTGGTTTTTCATAAAATTAAGCCAGTATTGGAGACTTGAAAAAATAGTGTTAGTCTGTGCCTAAATGAGAAACACTATCTGTTGACGAACAAATGTAGGCGACAAAAGCATTGCATTTTCTTCGTCAATACCTACCTAACAAGCCACATAAATGGGGGTATAAATTGCCGGTCTTATGAGATGGCCGTGGCTTCGCTTACGATTTTGAAATTTATTCAGGGATGGAGAATTGAAGAAATTAGAAACGCAGATGGCGCTTAGCGTATGGCAATATTTTATTTAATCTGTATTCTAGTATAGATTCTCTCTTAACTTTTCCTGTAATTCCGCCATAAGCTCATGTTTTGCTTTGTAAGTTAGTGCTCGTTTAATTTCATCAGGTTATGGGCCGTCCCATAACAAAAGTAATTAATTTTTCAATATATAAAAAGTCATTGTCGTAAAAGGCAAATCGCGATTTTCACAACCTCAAAATTTCACACGTGGTCATTTGTGGGTATCTTTTTCAGCATTATTTCCAGCATAAAACACTACCATGACGACAAACGGTTTTATAAGCATAGAAAAATTAACTGGAAGAGAAAATTACGCCATGTGGAGTTTTGCAGTCAAAGCATATTTGCAACTTGAAGATCTGTGGGAATATGTAAATGCTCCAACCGACAAATTAGTGGACGTAAAGAAAGATATTAAAGCTAAGTCAAAATTAATTTTATTAATATATCCTATTATCTATGTACACATTCAAGAAACCGCCACGGCCAAAGAGGTGTATGACAACTTGTCACGAGCTTTCGAAGATTCAGGCCTAACAAGAAAAGTGGGCTTGATAAATACCACATTAGAGAATAGTTTCAGCATTGAGGACGATGTAAATAAAGTTATGTCTTCAGCACATCGGCTTAGGAACATAGGTTTCAAAGTGGATGATGAATGGTTGGGGAACCTTGATATTAGCGCGTTTGCCAGTGTTCCGGAGTAAAAATTCGGGCACACTGTATGAAAACTAAATTATTACAAGAAGTGAAAAATAGTGAAACAAAAGCATTTTACTCAAACATCAAACAAATGCCACAAAAACCATCAAAATGAAACCAATTACCAGTCAAATAATTATAGTAATATAGAGCAGAATAAAACAAAAGGAATTAATAAATCAGTAGTTTACCCTGATAAATCCTATTGATTTATCTCCTGTTTCGGAGTGTTAGCAATGTAAAGGATTTTCTGTATTTTATAGGTGCCTCGCCCCTCGGTACCTACCTACTTAAAGAAGTTTCGAGATTTTGCCGTTAATCGCTAATTGACGGGCCTACAATCAAATCATGATTGTAGGCCAGCGGATAGTAGGTGAGTAAATACCTAATTTGTAATTTCCTGCATATTATAAAAAAAAAATGTCCTAGCGTTCCTAGGTAAATGTAGTAGACATGGCCGCCGCGCCAAGCCATCTCAGCGCCACCGCGCCGGCCGGCATCTGACGCGCGGCGTGAGTGGAGTTAAAATTTGTCGTTTTGTTTGCGTTTCTTACTTTATTGTGTTTCGAAATGTCAATTTTAATAAAAATAACGTTAGTAATCTTGCCGTATAGGTAGGTAAGTACTAATTATGTTAAAACTCAATTCACGAAAAGTGGAAAAGGAGTGTATAGGAGTGCAAAATCAGGCCAATTTTGCACACTCCTTTCCCATCTCAGGTGATGAAAAGGGATCGTTTTAGAGCCATATATTCTTGCCTGCATCTCCATGATAATAGTAATTATGTACCACGAGGCCACGAAAACTGCGACGCATTTTTCAAGCTCAGGCCGTACTTCGATGACTTATGCCGGCTATGCGAATCCTATTGCCTGCCAATTGAGAACCTGACTATTGACGAGGAAACTTGTGGTTTCAGGGGTCGTGTGCATTTTAGAGTTTTCAACCTTACATCGGTAAATGGCATGCCATATACACGGTGATTTTGAAAGCGTTTTGGAAAAGAAAATTTTGAATTATTTATCAGTAACATAAGCTATATATAACGTTAATTTAATAAAATATATATTTTTTTTAACATCAAAGTCGATATTCATATCGTTTACAGAGAAAAAGTGAGAACCAGTAGTAGTAGGCTATTCAATCACACGTAGGTAAATGCTACGATAAGAAATACTATGCGTTTTAATATCGAGTCACATAAAGGTCGCGCGCTCACGCGCAAGGTACTTTATTACGAATCGCATGCACCTGCAAGTAGAAAAGGGTTCGCTCACTTTCTAACGCAAGCTGGTGAGGACCTTGCCATCGATGGAAACTGGAATGAGGAGCCGCAGGTGTCTCGAGGTTTGTTTCAAAATTTATCATACCAAAAAAGATTACATCCTGTAAAACCCATACTACTTATCAATAGAGATAATTTTAGCTTGTCTTGAGTTATGTAAGTTTTTTTTTTCATAGAAACGTATAATTTTCATTAATAAATAAATAAAAGTAATATTGATTTATTTCATTGTTTTATTTTTTATATACAAAATATAATGAGGAAATATCTTAATAAAAATCAAATAGATCTCCATTATAGTTTACATTTTATGACCATTTGAAATATGCCAAAATTGGCCCGCGCACGGCGTGATCCGCGTATGAAATCGCTTCACGGGGAAAGTGTTAACAAAATGTTAAACATCATAAACTTAAGGAGGAAGGAGGTTGCTCAAGTACATTCTAACTGTTGATGTGTCAGGATCCGGTCAAGCAAATCTCATAATTACAGCTCTGAACAAGCATGAACTTGAATGTTCTCATATGGTTGGTCAAGGTCATAGGGCTGCAGCTATGAGTGGGTATTTACACGGTGTCCAGGCCTATATTCGTCAAGAATGTCCACTTACTCTTTATGTACATTGTAGTGCACACTCTCTTAACCTTGCTATTGCAGACTCATGTTCACAAGCAGATGTGCAAAATTACGTTGGAATCGTGCAGTCTGTCGGATCGTTTCTTAGACATTCTGCTCAACGCACTGCCATTTTGAAAGGTAAAATTCGGGGGCTGTTACCTTCAGATCATCAAAAAAGCCTACTTGCAATGTGTGAAACACGGTGGGTTCACAAGCACGAAGCCGTTATGCGATTCAAGGAAATTTATTCAGCAATTGTGAATGCTCTCGAAGAACTTCAATCGGGTCACAATAAAGAAACATCACAACAAGCCGTCCAAATGCTTAACACACTTCGATCATCTAATTTTATTATGTGTCTAGTGATTCTTCAAAAAGTCATGATCATCGAATTTCATGTGATCATCGAATTTTATTATGTGTCTAGTGATTCTTCAAAAAGTCATTGTCGCTATCAAAACAACTGCAAGCAATTAACACCGACCTCATAACAGCATTCAACCACGTGGATGATGTTTGAAAAACAAAGTCGACGAAGAGCACCTTCATCTCCATGAAGAAGCAAAGGTGTCGCTCGAAGAAAATGGTGGTATACTGCAAATGCCCCGTATCGTCGGAAGTCAGTTGAACCGCTCTAACATTCCTGCGTTGGATATATGCACTATTATAAAATAAATTTATTCATCCCATTTCTAGAACATACAATTCAACAATTGATTGAGAGGTTTACGAAACATCCTAAAGTAGTGTCAGCGCCAATTGAAGAGGCATTTTGGTTACCATACCTGTTTCCACTGTTACCCCAGAAAGGACATTTTCCAGCCTATGGAAAACAACTACTTGCGGAACACAACGAGTGAAAACAGATTGATGACAATTGAACATTCACTATGGAATAGAAATTGATACAAATAAACTAGTGGATAGTTAGTACTTATTTTTTTCACATCTCTCTTTTTTTTTCATATTAATACTACGGTTAGGTATTACATGCCCTTTTTAATCGTTTTATTATATCCCCCCCCCCCCCCCCATACGAAAACCTGGCTACGCCAGTGTTACACACGGAGATGCGTGTTTGACATTTCTTTGAGATAGTGTCAATAATGCACAAACCATTGTCCATGTTTAAATGGTAGAGAGTTGTATGCATATCACACACATAGTTTAAAGAACCACTATCCACACCTTGATATATTTCGCTATCTTTTAGTGGCAGATAAACATCTTTCTGCAAGTTAATAGCTACATACTTCGATATCAGAGTTATTATTAATGTACTGTCAGCTCGTTTAAAAGGGATAGGTAATATTTTATAAATCTCATAGTTGTCTCTTGTAATGGGGGTATCCTAATTTAAAAAATAAAGCAGCTGTTAGTTAATCGAGCCTTGACCTTGAGTAACTGGTAGATTTTCGCCATTTCGGTATGAATGTGTTCAATAGGAAGTGATAAGTAATTCGTCAACTGACCTGCAATGACGTTTAGCTCTTGTTGAAATTGTTGTACAGAAAGAATGTGAGTATTAAACTTATGGTAGTGAATATCGGTGAGCATATCCACCAATTTTTCTTAACCAATTCTTCAAAATATCCAAGAAAATTTCTTGGATATATTGCATATTTATTATCAAATTATTTGCTATCATAGCAGATAAAGTAAATTAATTCAAATTTCAATGTCTTTAATTTCTTGTTTCAATGTGTTCGCTGCTTTTTTTAATTCAACAGACGAAGGAGTTATATTTATCAGCAAAAGAGTTAATCTATCAGTAAGTCAGGAACAGTTAGAGGTGCAAACTACATCTTCGGTCTCTAAAGCAATGGTACATAAATCTGAGCAGCAGGAGGAGGCGACAAGAGAAGAAGTAGAACGTACATCAGAACCGAAAGCTGGTAGATCCCGTGGAAGGTCATCTAGGGGGTCTATGAGCAAATTGTAAATAATATTCACTTAGAGAGCATCAACGAGAAATGGGAATTCGAGGACGTCTTGAAGAAGTTGCAGTCTCGCTGGACTACAATAGGTAGCCTACATTGGGAGATCTACATGTAAACCGACGGGTAGGGTGAAGAATACGAGAACTTGTTTACGACACACGCGACTGCATTCAATCATTTAAAAAATGCTATTAATCATAAATTATGGTGTCGGTATCTCACAGGGAAAATTCATTACCAAAGATAGAAATGCCCATATTCAACGGATAACTATCAGCAGTGGACGTAGTCTAAAGATCTTTTCAACGAGGCCATCAGAAGATGCAGTTCCTTTTAGGGAAAGTACGCAGTGAACTCATTCAACATTTACATATTGGCTCGGACAATTTTAGGCCGTGCTGGGAGATCCTCACAAATCGCTACGATTACAAAAAAATAATATTTACCGCACATTTAACACTTTATTAGGGCTTCCTAGCATAAATCAGCATTCTTTAGCGCAAATGAAAAAGATGCATGACATCACAATAGACACGCTTCATGCCATCGAGAACTTGGAAATGAACGTGTCCACGTGGGATCGTGTCCACGGATTTTTGGTCCATATATTGTCACAAAAACTTGATAGCGAAATCTATAGTGATTACTTAGAATCTGTAAAATCTCCAAGGGAACTACCCGTTTTTAAAGAGTTTTTATTCTTCCTCGAGAGTAAATTTACTAGCCTCGAATATGCAAGAAGAAAGCAAGACCAAGTTATCACAAAAACTTCACATGACAAACAATATAAATTGCATCGCATCGATTTCTCAAAAAAATACTAACAATTATTCGTATAATAAAAATATGAACAAATTATTTCCGGTGACCTCAATTAAATGCCCATTTTACTTTGTAAGAACGGAATTTGTTGTAATGGCAGATACAACCAAAAATGTACCAGCGCAAGCAAATGTGTCTTCCCGCTCTGATCGGCTAAGACAAACCAGAATAAGAAGAACTTCACACGTCCGAAGAACAAAGTGGATAAAGTCATTCCAAAAAAACAGAATTTATCGAAAACTGTGACCCTTGACCCCCTTGACTAACGATCCGCTCTGAAAAGACTCCTTCGTCCTAGACGGAGAAATTGGTTTTGTCAACGAAGTAGCTAGCAAAGAGTTTGAAGGAGACGCCGCCGGATACATACATCTGGTTGAATCAGAAGGTAAGGCGATCTAGACGTAGATAAGTACTAAGCAAAGTCAATCTCCCAGTCTGCACACTGGTACTACAACTGGTGCTCTTCTATTATGAGATAGCTCTAATCGCACAGAAAAATGGGACTTCGTCCCATGATCAGGACAAACTTGTCCAAATAGTGCAGGAGTACAGTTCAGCTAAGATCTGTCTATTTATCTTTCTTCAAGCAAATCCAAAATGTGCCGTGTGACACGCTCTTGAGTCGAAGAATTTCTGAAAAACTTAACTTTATATTTAGGATCAATGAAGGTTGACGTGATAAACAAGATTTTATTTTCTATAACTAAAAATTTCTTAATAAGTTACTATTTTAGAACGGCTGTCGTATCACCAATTAATTCATCGATAGTTTCACAATAATTCAAAACTTTTTCATAATTGGAGATTAACCCTTAATTGGGCGAAGGTAAAAATGATTGAAAAACCAGATTTTGGGTTATTATTTATATGTTTATTAGGATCCTTTCTAACATTATTTATGAAAATCTAAAAATATATAATCCCACGTTCGAGAAATTCGGTGGTAATCATTTTACCATCGCCCGTTTACGTTTAGGTGTTCGTGGTAATTATTTGACCTCAGCTTGTTAAGGATCGGCTTCTTTAGAACTGAAAAATTGTGGAAAATCAGGTGTTTTTTTTTACACTATGCACAAATGTGACAAAGTCGGACTTAATGCCGTAGGCATTTTCTCCCAGTGAATAAATGAATAAAAAGTTCAGTGAATAAATGTTTGTTATAAATATGTTTTTTACAGCCTTATACATTGAAATTATCAAAAAAATCCGTTTTACTAAGAGTTTTGTCTTTTTTTTCCAGAGTTAGTTATGGATAGGTGAGAATAGCACATTGCGCAATAGTTGGAAGAAGATGAAGGAGGTTCTGATGAAGAAGAAGTTGGAGGGTCAGGCTCTGAGCCAGAGGTAGACGAGATAACACAAAGTGATCGCGATAGTGCTAATGAAATAGAGCAACCGTCCGCACAACCAAGTGAATCGTCAAACAACGAGGAAGACATTTCTGCAGGGCAGTGTAACAATTACTATTTTACCAGACATAATGGCAGTCCCCACCATCAGATTTTCGTCGTGGAAGTGTTCTGTGGCGGCGGTTTTGTGTCGGTGCACGTGTGCGTTGAAGCGCGGCGCCAGGACGTTCTACCAACCATGGACCTCGGGTTAGGTCTCGGCATAACTGCATCAGCAAAAAGGTTTGCTGGCAGTAAGTATCGCCAATGGAAGTTCCAGACGAAACTTACCCTGCAAGGCAAAGGGCTGGGCGATCACATCACGTCTTCCTTCGCACCGGCGGGGATCGATCCAACTGAGTGGAAGAATTATGATGCGAAGGCTATGTACATCGTCACTGCGGGAATGGAATTCACACAAGTAAGCTTAATAGAAACGTGTGATTCCACCTATGACATGTTTACCAAACTAGATTCAATATACGATCAAAAGAGTTAAAACACAAAAATGCCCTTGCATGAGAAATTTCACACAGTAAAATACAATCAAGGTGATAGTATGGCTGAGTACATAGCTAAAATTGAAAACTTAGCTAAGCAGCTTAAAGACACTAGAGAGAAGATATCTGAAGTGTCTCTTGTTCCAAAAATACAAGGCTCATTGCCTGATCGCTATCGTATGGTGAGACAAGCATGGTTATCTTTAGATTCAAGTAAGCAAACTGTGGCCAACTTGACGGTACGCCTCTTGGACGAGGAAACGAGCTATAAAAGCTGTTAAGAAACAGCATTAGCTGCTGAAAAAATGACCAAAAAGACAGTGAAGTGCTTCAAATGTAAGAAGAAAGGGCATTATGCCCGTGACGATGAAGATTCGTGGATCATATGTCATATATCATACAGATGTGACTACTTCGTGGACCTCAAGCTCCTGCTTGAGGTCCACGAAGTGCAGCAGTGTGAGGTTAGGCGATAAAAGTGAACTAAAAGTGCTTGGATCAGGAACAGTTCAAATTAAAAAGTTTTTGGATGGTAAATGGTATTCTTCTTTGTGCCAAACTATAGTCAAACCGCCGTAAACATGACCCTCCTGATGGTTTGCGGGACGTGGGGCGGGGGTACGCACAACCAATCAGCTAGTGTGTCGCTGTCCGCCGGCAGTGACTGACGTGAAAGCAAGGCCGTACGTGTTATTTTTCTTAAGACCGTGTGTAGCACACGGTATTAATTTGCAACATGGATAATCTGCCGACTCTGCGTCACAAAAAATTAAATAGACAGGCGAAGATTATGTTGTTAAATGTTGCCAAATATTTAAAACAATTAAAATTTGCCGAAGCTGTGACACAAGGTAAATTAATAATAATTTTGTATTCATCGTCATTTTAAAATATGTACTTTATGTGTGTGTAAATATTTTAAAATGTGTACTTATATTTTTTCTAAGATTCCAGAATGTAATTTGGATACATATTAGGAATTTAGGAATTATTTATTTTTTAAGGCACCGATATCAATGTGAATAAAGCAATATCGGAAGCTACAAGTGTTTCTTTGTCGACGGTAAAAAAAGTTTTATCGCTAAGTCGATCGTCAGAAAATTTAGAAGAAGCAATTAAATCACCAACCAAACAAAGAAAACGAAATCAAAAAATAGAGGTGGACAATTTTTTATAACTCGTCAAATCCAATAAAAAAGGTAGTAGTCCATAACAAACAACATACAAAATAAAGCAAGGATATATAAAAGCGAGGTGAAGCTATTTCTTAGTTTGAAAATTATTTTGTGGCCTTTGTCCTATACATATATAATCTAATGTAGGTACCCTTTTTTTTCAGGCGTTATTAGAAGAAAAATTCAGTTTCTATGCTTATAAAAAAGAAGTGCCAACTATAAAAAGACTCATAAAGGACTTAAAAGATGACGGGATATTAAATTGTGGTCGCGAATTTTTGAGAAAGTACCTTCATAGAATAGGATTTGAATGGAAAAGGTTGCAATCTAAAAGATGCTTACAAATGGAAAATATGGATATTATGCACAAAAGACGAATATATCTGTTAAAAATAAAGAAACAAAGAGAGGATAGAAGAAAAATTGTGTATGTAGATGAAACCTACCTAAATTCTTCACACACGATATCCAAGTGCTGGCAGTCTCAAAAACACAAAGAAAGGGGACACTTAAAAGAAATAGGCGCAGGGCCACGACTAATTATCGTTCATGCTGGAGGAAAGGAAGGATTCGTCAATGGTAGTCTCCTCATATTTAGATCTAAAAGCAAATCAGGTGACCATCATGATGACATAAATTTACAAAACTTCAAAAAATGGACAGAGGAAAGAAAAGCTAGTACCTACCTCATTCAACGGTAGTATTAGACAACGCTTCGTACCATAACGTTGACATTGACAAAAGGCCTGCCAAATTAGCACTGAAACAAACAATGCTTGATTTGGCTACAAAGGCATAATACTGAATGTAATTCAACCATGTATAGATCACAACTTTATCATTTGATCCAGTCCGTGCATATCGAAAAAAAATTGTGACTGAAGAAATTTTAAAAAGTCACGGTCACGAAGTGTTGCGGCTGCCGCCATATCACGCGGACTTGAATCCTATAGAGTTGGTATGGGGTCACGTGAAAGGCCAATTGGCATCATCAGATCTTACCACCAATTTAACGCAAAAGTGGGAAAAGCTAGAACAAATATGTACCGCCTACACACAAGCTCAATGGTCCAAATGTGTGAACATGTTATTAAAGTGGAAGACGAATATATACAAAAAGATAAACTAGTAGACAGTAATAATAGTAGTATATAATAACTAACTAGTTACTGTCGTTACTGCATTCTACTTTTGTATTACTTACCTTGTGTATTATTTACTTTGTAATTTTGTGACATTTGTGTTAACATTTAAGTGAGGTTATATTTACAATTTTTCAACATTGTTTACAACATTGTGACTTTTTTCATAATGTTATTTTTGCTTTAACTAAACAACAATAATTTAGGTTATTCTGCTGCCTATTGTATTCTCAATTAAGGGTATAGTTACTTGAACATTTTGTTTTACAATTTAATAGCTTTGAATGTGTTTATAAGTCTGCTCGGGAAAACTTTTAAAGATAACTTCAGTTTTGGAAATATTATACTATGACTTATTGTAAATTAAGATTAACTTGGCTTAGCTTAACTTTACTGTTATTATCTAGTTGTTACAACAACTGTTAGTGGTTACTGCAATCTTTAAATCCTTTTTAATACAGAACTTAGATATTTAAATTAAAACTTAACTCTTCTCATTTCACTTTTAAATAAATGTAGACTTCTTTTCACAACATTTAACTTTTAAATAAATTTAAACTTAGCTTTTCACATCAGTTAACTTTTAAATAAATTTGAATTTGTCTTTTCACTACAATTCACTTTTAAATAAATTTAAACTTAATTAACCTTGAAGAACTTAACACTTGGACGGCTGTTTTGGAATTTTGTAGTTTCTGTCGGTTTGTATTATGGAGCAGCTCAACCTTCAACGTCGTCCGCGAATGTGGATGTTAGCACAGCTGCTGATGGTTCTGCGGAGATGAGCGTCCCATTGGATTTGTCATATGTTCGTGATACTTCTGCTCGTGCACCAAGTCTGCCTTCGTTCAACTGCATGAATGAGCACGTTACGAGGAATATGCCTGCTTCTACTACGATGCTGCCTGATTTAACTAAAAATTTAAATTTAAAAGAGTTTTTTGAAGATAGGCCACAATAATAATAACAATAAATACTGTTGTTTGTGATAATGAATTTTAAATTGATTTGCAAAACTAATATTCTATAGAACTAAATTTATAAATTGCATTTATAGGAAAAATAATTAGTGTTACGTTATTCTTCATTGTAACATAATAATATATGTAATTGGAAATTTAATTTAATGTATAAATATTTTAATTTAATGACATACATGATAACGCCTAATACCAACAAAATTGCTGTGCCCTAGCAGGGTTTCATGTCTTTAGAACCAATATTGTAATTAACACCTTATGTACACATGAACGCAATAAAAACTTTGACTTTGACTTTAACTAGGAGCAAGATAATCTTTGACGGTAAGACCTGTGTTAGAGAATTTATCACTCGTGTTGAGGAATACTTTGTATTCAGGAACTTTCATGAGGCTGTGTTGATTGGTTCGTTCGCTGATCTGCTCGCTGGTGCTGCTGCCAAGTGGTTTCGGACTATTCGCATGAAGATCTCTTCGTGGTTTGAGCTTAAGGCTGCTTTGCTCAGACGTTTTGATAGGCCGGATTATGATTGCCTTTTGGAGCATGAACTGCGCATTCGCAAACAAAAGCCTAGTGAGTCTCTTCCAGACTTTATCACGGAAATCATGGACATGGATAGCCGCCTGGTCACCGCTATTCCAGAGCCGTCGTTAATTACAATTATCAAATACAATATGTTGCCAATTTATACACCTTATGTGTTCGGTAAACAGTTATCTTCGCTTGAGGACTTCATAAGTTTGGGAAAGGAGTTAGAAGTTTTTGTTAATAGGAAATCTCTTAAAGATTCATCCAAACCTTTTAAATTTGAAAAGGTACAGTCCAACGCTGTCACGTCAGACAATACTAGCGTAGTGTGTTTGAAGTGTAAGTCAACTGGTCATACTTATAAGAACTGTTCTTCTATTCCTGGTATGATTTGCTTCAAGTGTCAGAAACTGGGGGTTATCACAAAGTTTTGTGATGTGTGCAATTCGGCCAAGAGTAACTCAAATGAGTCAAAAAACTGATTAGGCTCCATCGAGCTCCGGTTTCTAAAAAAACTAGAGATGTCTCGATGATGAAAAAAAGTTATTAATTTGCCAGTTACTTGTGATAATTCGACTAAAAATATTAAATTCATTATTATACCTTCATTAAACATTCGCATCATTTTAGGATTTGATTTTCTGCTTAAGTTTGACCTGGCTAAGGACTTGTGGAAAAATATAACCTTTGTTAGTAACGATAAAATTCAAACTTGTACGGTAACTTGCGCCGCCGAACTTACTCCTTCTGAAAAATTAAAACTTGATAAAACAGTTTCGCTTTTTGAAGACATTTCGTATGAAAAGAAAGAGTTAGGTCTCACTCATCTGGTTGAACATAAAATTAATGTTACTGGTGAACCTTTTAAGCAGAGATATTGGCCTTTGAGTCCTGCCAAGCAGAAGGAACTTTTCGTCGAAGTTGAAGCTCTGCTTAGGGAAGGTGTCTAAATATCATACTTTTGTTTTGAAAATAAATAGCAACACTTACACACTCACAAACATACTGTACTCACACATTCATACAGTCCACAAGTTCTATGCTGTTAAGTATTACTTTTAGTACAAATAAACTATCGTATCTGTGAAGACGTATTGCAAGTGTTTTATTCACCAGCTAATAGATAAAGACCTTATTCACTCAAACATATGGTCCATTTTCGAACCGGGTTTTATGAGTTGTACCGGCGATCGCTGTATCGAAAGAACAATAGCATTCCTGAGCGGATTATCTTGCTAACATCGAGTGTTTTAAGCAATTCAATAGCAAAATAATCATTCAAGTTTTTATCTATTTTGCTTGGATTTCGAAGTTTCAACGTTTTTACGCATACGCATTTGTACCTACCTCCAACATGAAAACGTTAATGGTATATCAGAAAGAATTACTAGAAAACCTGAAGAAAGCGGAAAGAAACTTCACAAAAACGCCTAAAGACCGTATTAAAAAACCATATTTGGAGACTAGACTAGAGAATTTGGAGCAATTATGGATAAGTTTCAAGGAAGGACACAAAACTATAATTGTCAAGGTGACCCCTACCGAAAAGGAGGATGCGTATTTCACTACAAGTATGTACGAGGAGTTTGAAGAGTTGTATGTATCATACAAAATTTTTTTGAAGGAGAACATGCAGCCGTTTCTGATATCA